TGAGAGCGGTATCATCAACTACTAACCCATGCACACAGAGAATCTTTACCCATTCATCATTCAGAAGGTCATACGTACAATGAGAATTTCTTAAACCACCAGTACTTGGCCCAGCTATCGATGCTGAGCCTCGGAGCACCCTCCACACCAAGTTTGGACAAACCGCCAACACGACTTTTTGATTTCATGTTGGCTGGCGCCTCCAGCCATTGCGGTTCGGTACCCCGAAGCCCTAAAGGTGCGGCGCCTTAACGGGGAAACGCCACAGCCGATGTATGGGCCAAGTACTCGTGTTTAAGGCCAGGAAAATTCAAACCGCAAGCGAGCTAGAGGGCTTGGCGCCATTAATGACAAATACAAAGAGGAGAAATACAAAGAAGAAGAATAAAGAAGAGGAATACAATATCAGTGGAGCTTTAAGCGGTTTCAAGTTTCAACCGTTCTCACCCGGCGAATCGTTCTTCGTGCCTGCTCAGTGATCCTACGTATCAGGTTCTCCCGATATCCGGCAGGAGCTCCTCGTATCATCAGTCACGAAGCCCAGCCCAGATCTCTCCAACATTTAACCATTCCGATGACCCCCCCCGCATGCAAAAAAGAATGCACAAATAAAGAATTTCCACTACGTGTGAGGGGCGGCAAGCTAAGGTTTAAGGGAAGAGCAAACATTAACTGTTCATGTCTCCGGTTGCTGATCATACGCACTCGGCATCCTGTATCATTGGAGCTTGTGTGTGTATACTCAGGTACGCGGATCAGAACAGGTTTCCAAAAAAAAAAAAAAAAAGGTTTCCAACTTTTCAGTAAAAAAAAAAAAGCGTTGCACATAGTAGCCACCGAAAAAAAAAAAAGGAAAAAAAGGGGTGTAATCAACCATGAAGAAGAACATTCATTCAGCAGAGCAGAGTGGGCCTGTGAATCGGCAGACGGGAAGGAGCCTCAAGGGGGAAGGAGAGGAAAAAAGATCAAAGGGAGAATACATGCCATAGATATGCTAGATGTCAAAGAGCTGCAAGGCGGTCAGAGAAGGGGGAGGGTAAGGGGGAGGGGGAAGGGGAGGGGGAAGGGGAGGTGGAAGGGGAGGGATCAATGAGAGCTGGACTCAGAGCCAAGTCTTTTTTTCATCACCGAAAAATTGAGGCCTCCATTCTTTGAACTCAGAGAAACCAAGTCACATCAGTCGCCAAGCAAGGAGCATGAAGAGTGCATGTGGAAACAGAAAAGACGAGACGAGAAATAGGAGGGGGAGGTCAGATGAAGAGGAGCAGATGAGAGAGCCCTATATCTTGCCACTTTCTGCACCCCTATTCAGAATCTGCGCCATGGCGCGAGGACACTCGGCAGGTCCGCAGGAGGAGTATGGGGATCCCTGAGGCCTTTCTGCTGCAGCCACGTAGCAGCGCCATCAGAGGGGGGAGCATCTTCCTTTGTCATTGGAAGGTGGCGAAGAAGAGGAGGAGGAAACAGAAAGAGGAAGACAAAGAAGGAGGGGAAAAGGAGGAGAAGAAGTGGATAACAGAGACGGGTGGAAGGGGGTGAGAAGACTGTGCAATGCTCCAAGGACTTGCAGAGCAGCTGTGATGGCCGATGATGGTGGCCGCAGCTGGACGATGAGCATGCATGGCTGCTTCATGCGGAGTGCAATCAAGAAGAGGAGGAATGTCATCCAGCAGCGCGATATAGGCGAAGAGGACGTATGCCGCAATCTCCATGTTCAACTTGCTGCCTTCTGCGCAACATCTGTTTCCAACGTGATTCCCGTGCTCACTTCAGTTGAGGAAGAAGTGCAGACACAAGAGTGCGACGACTACTCCTCGGAGTCCGCTTACTGCCACGAGGAGACAGGTTGCTGCGTACAAAATGGTTGCAAAGATAAGCGTGGATGCCAGCGCTTTGGGGGAAAGCCGCAGGACCTGCTCCGACTGACATAGCTGGAGGAGGGTGCATGCGAGCACAAGGTTGGGCAGAGCAGCGAAGCAAAACGATGCTACATTGCTACTGCAATAACGCCTTGCGGTCATACCACTTCATCCACATCAACTTGGTCTTCCAGCTGGTCCATGCCAACTGCCAGTCGCTTCGCGAAACCTCCGATCCCGGCAATCCGATGGGCGCCGTCACTTACGAGATTCGCGCGGCTTCCTCCGTCACACAGCACCTTACCGTCTTTTGTTGGGCAGAAGGAAGTACTCGGCTGGTAGGCAGCCGCCCGACACCGTCTGTGTAAACATCACCTTGCGGCCTAACCAGTATGTCTGCCACCACCCTGACTTCGATGCTTCGGTCTCACAGTCGTTGGCCTTCTAAATGGTCTGTAACTAATTGCTATTCCTGGCTTTCCTCAACGGGTTGCGGGTGGGCAGGCTTCCCTCCAAAACTGGGTGCGCGTGAGCGCTTGGATAGGGTACTGGGCCTGAAAAGAGCTTCAAAAGAACTGGACCAATCGCACCAAGCGAAGAAAAAGAACAAAAAAAAAAGGAATGAAACAAAGAATAGCAACAAGAACCGCTGGGCCAAAGGCAAAGGAAAGAGGGTGCAAACTAGACAATCGTGCGCAGGCACAGAGCAGCCTGAAAAGGAGAGGTATGAATTGAGGTGGATGAATCGAACCACCGCCGTTCCAGTTATTCTGCAGCCAAAGAAACTACCCAAGCAAGGGCGTGTTTCACTACTTATTCTCAATCATATCCATGGAGCCTGCTCTTTGCCTTTTTTCGTTCGGGTTTTGAACGCACCCCGCTCTGGATGTTATCCGCACCTACAAAAGAAAGGCCACCAAGCTGGGCTGATTTCCCATGCGCCCGGTCCCCAGACCACGCCCGGAATGGCAACCGGGTGCCCGGCCTGGCATAAGTCCCGGGCGGGCCCCCGGGCGCTCTCCACAGCATTAAAAAAAAATCAAAAAAAGCTACTGGGGGGGGGCCTGGGGCACAGCGGGGGGTGGGAGGGCCCTGCTAACCGCAGAAAAAATTGCGCGGAGGCCCTACCGGCCCCACGAAGAAAAAAAGGAGGGCGATTTCAAGCCCTTGATCTGCAAGATCGAGGGCTTGAAATCGCCCTTTTTCCTTCCCGTTTGTCAAGGGTCACCGCGCGATTTCGCGCGGGCATTTCACTTTGAATGCGAACGCGATTTCGCGCGATTCTTGCCGTCCACGGAACCCTCGTTGCCTGCTGCCCGTCGCCTGCTGCCCGTCGTCCGCTGCCCATCGACTCGTCAATTGCTGCCCGTCGCCCTTGCCCGCTCCACGTCGCCATCGCCAGGTAAGTGGGTTAGCTTCGCCAACAACACCATCGCACGTCGCCATCGCCCCATTGGGAGTCGTCCTCCTCCACCTCCTCCTCCTCCTTCTTCTTCTTCTTCTTCTTCTTCTTCTTCTTCTTCTTCTTCTTCTTCTTCTTCTTCGTGGGGCTTCCCCTCCCCCCCCAAAAAAGGTCCCGCCATCGCGACCCACGTAGAACGCCGCGACAGACATCGGCGGCACACACACACACGCACACGCACACACACACACACACACACACACACACACACACACAGAGTCTCCTCCTCCTCTTCTTCTTCTTCTTCTTCTTCTTCTTCTTCTCCTTCGTGGGGCT